CTGAAGCTGAATATCGAGCTATGGCTGCAGGGGTTGCAGAAGCTATGTGGCTTCGATGTATCACTGATGCGCTGGGTATTCCTCCGTCCAAACCGAAGTTATACTGTGACAATGAGTCGACTATCTGTGTCACCAAAAATCCGGTTCTTCATGATTGCATGAAGCATGTGGGCACAGACTGTCACTTTGTACGAGATGAGGTTATGGCAGGCACTATGACTCCACATCATGTTTCCTCCTCAGAGCAGCTAGCAGACATTCTTACCAAACCGCTTCCCCCAGTTCCTTTTGAGTACTTATGTTCCAAGCTGCCCCTCGTCTCCGTTGATCAGCTTGCGGGGGGATATTAGGAAGTATAATTAAATTAGGATACTTCTTTCCTTTCCTACTAGGATTATTCTTTCCTTTCCTACTTGTACTTTGATTACTCTTGTATTCCCTATATATAGGGCCATATCTCTCAATATTCAATAAGACAAGTTATTATCAAATTGTATCACATACATTACTCTCTCAAATATAAAATTATGGATGAAAAGCTCTTATTAATATAACTATCACACAACATATAAATGCTAAGGTACAAATAAGATTTAATTACATGGATTCTGTGCTAGGTAGAACAAAATGAATTCACATTTACGAAGTAATGGAACATCATGCATGACTTCCTCCCCTGCTCATTGTGCACGCTAAGTGGATGCATTCCCACCTAGCTAACTTTATTAATACAATTTCAAAATACTTTTTAATAATCACATACATAAAAATTATATATTTGTGTATTCAAATAATTAAATAATTAATTATTTTTTCTGAAGGAACTTCTTCATCCATATAGCAGATTTTTTGGGATATCTTTTTAGGCCGTTTTTGTAATCTATAAAGTTAAGACCAAATCTGCTTGTATACCCTGAGCTCCATTCATAATTATCAAAAAATGACCATGCAAAGAAGCCTTTGACATTCCCACCCAACCTACACCAACAACAACAATTAACATTAAGTCAATAATAACAACAATAATGATTAGATCAGAAAATATAAAAATAATAATAGTGTTGCAAAAAATAAGAATAATAGTGTCTTGTTTAATTAAGTTTTTGTTTTTGCTTACTCCATTGCGTCTTTGAGGGCGGAAATGTGGCTACGGTAAAAGTTAACCCTTTGAATGTCATTAACTCCTTCCTGAACGGCTGAAGTGACACGCAAGCTTGACATCCCTAATAATAAAAAATTTTAAATGATTAAATTATGATCGAGTAAATAAAAATAGAATAAAGTATACTCTCAGCAGTTACGTGTAGTTTCATTAGCATGCAATTAATAATAAAAATATTTGGACTAAATAGCACTAAAACTTAAGTCATTTCTCTAAATAGCACTAAAATTATTTTATTCTCTAAATAGCACTTAATAATGTCCATAATGTTCAGTAGTGATGACAAATATTTATTTGAATAATGACTAAGAGTGCTACATTGGAAAAAAACACATGTGATGCTATTTAGAGAAAGTCATTATGTTTTAGTGCTATTTAAGTAAATTTCTCTAAATAATAACGGCACATATATACATACCACACTCGGTAATATAAATGGTAGGATTTTTGTAGTTCTGCTTTGTGTAAAGAAGCAGCTTTTTAAGTCCGCTCGGAACAACGAAAAATTCTACTGAGCCCGTCTACAAACAACAACAACCTCAATAATAATAATAATAATAACAATAATCATATTTTAATTAATACGAAGTAATTATAATAGTAATACTGTAATAGTAATAATAATAATAGTAAAACATATTTAGGGATATAGAAAATGTTGTTCAAGTGAATGTTAACACACTCACCGCTTCACCAATGAGCTGTCCATCCTTCTTTGCTGTCAATGAGGATAAGAAAACATTTTTTAAAAACACTATATAAACCAATAATTAAGTAGAGACTATTCTCTTTGTTCTTATATATAGTATATTCTTTATCCAGTTTACAATTTATAATTTTTTCTTCAAAATAATTTTAAAAATCAGTACCGAAACTATTGAAGAAACTATATAAGCAAACATGTGGAATTAAATATATTTTTTATCAAATAATAAATGAAAAACATGCATATAAATTAAATGAAAGTTATTTGAGCATGTGAATATGGAAGAAACTATTGTTTATTTGTTGCATGAATGAATTAAATGTGGGAAATGAAATGAGGGAAGATTTGTTACACGTGAGGTTGGCTTGAGAATCAAAGGTGTAGCTGATATTGACTTTGTTAGGAGAGGAAATGTAAGAAGCATATCTGGCCGTGTAGTAATTGAGTCCAAGAAAGTCAATAGATCCTTTGACCATCTCTGATTGGTCGGGAGTGAACTTTGGTAATCTCTCTCCAACTAGACTCCTCATGCTCTTCGGATAATCGCCATAAGTTAGTGGATGCAATGCCCTTTCATTTAGTAAGTTTATTAATTAAATCATAAATCCAAACATGATATTAAACATAATTATACTCCTCCATTCAAATTTAAATTGTCGATTGTTGTTTATGAGGTTTGATTGGAATTATTTTCAATGCAATTTATTTGAAAATTGGTGTATAACTAATAAATAAAATCTACAAATTTAAAAGCTACATAAAAAAAAATCTACAAAACAAGCTATAATAAGAATATTTTTTATATCAAATAAGTAGCAAAAATGGGTAAAAAACGTTGTTAAAGTTTGACACTGGGAATATTAAACACGCAATTTAAATTATGACGGAGGGGTGATAATTTAATGTTTAATCAAATTAAATATTTTCGTATTTGTAATTATCTTTTACAAGGAGAGAGAGAAGAGAGAAAGAGAGAGATTATATCCTTACCATCCTAACATGAAATCAATAGCTTGTTGAGCCGCTTTTCTGTCTTCTTGGGTAGAGGAATATGGCTCAAACCAATGGGACACCAACACAATTCCTATTTCCTCCTTTTGTATTGCCTATATTTAATTATTTCATTACTTTTAACTTTAGTTCATACATAAATTAAAAGAATTTACTTAAATAGCACTAAAACATAATGACTTTTCATAATTAGCACCATATGAGTTTTTTTCCCCAATGTAGCACTTTTAGTCATTATTTATTAGTCATTATTCAAGTAAATGTTTGACATCATTGGACATCATTCCTCCTTCTGGACATTATTAATTGCTAATTAGAGAATAAAACAATCTAAGTACTATTTAGGGAAATGACTTAAGTTTTAGTGTTATTTAGTGCAAATAAAATTAAAACGCACGTACCACTAGATAGAGTACGAAGAGATTGGAATACTTTTTTCCGTCCTTAAAAATAGTTTCTCATTCTTTTTCTGTCTCAAATTTTTTTTACTCTTTATTAAAGAATCATTTTTACTTTGTAAAAATAGATCAATTTCATTCTGATTAATTCTTACCATATCAATCACATTATATCTATTAACTACTTGTATATATATCACATCCTTATCCATTATATAAGGAGAATTTAGAAAAGTTAAAATAAAAATATGTTTTCCCAACTTTATCAGCATTGAATTCTAGGAGTGTTGATGTTGAAAACATTTGGCTAGTATGCACCTCCTCTTTCGAATCTGTTGATTATCTACTTTGATCTTATTTTGCTCCCTCCCTAATTGCTATTGCGGTTTTGCATTCACTAAAGGAATGTCATTTTCTATTCGGTTTCTTTTACTTTTGTTCGTCGTGAGCATAATGTTGTTGCATATACGCTCGCGCGACAAGTTGAGTCTCAATGTGATGTATGAGAGGCGAATCTTCCTAATTTTGTCACTCATCTGATTTGATTAATGGAAGTTTTTTTGCTTTCAAATTTAAAAAAATCCTTCCCTAAAACTTAATACTCCCTCCGTTCCACAAAACCTTTCCCCTTTCATTTTTTTTGAATTCCCTAAAACACTTCCACTTTCTATTAAAAAACCACTTTTACCCTTACTTTTTCATACCCTACCTATCACATCATACTTTTTCACTAATATCCAAACTATCACATCTTACTTTTATCCATCACATCAGGGGCAAAATTAGAAAGTCAACCAAAATTTCACTTTCCTTATTTTAGCCAAAAGTCAAAAGTGGAAGTGTTTAAAGGAACGGAGGGAGTATAATAAAAGCCAAAATGGGAATGTGATTTTGGAACGAAAGGAGTATAAGAAATGTTTCGTCCCAAAAAATTCATATTTTGGCAACATGAAAAATCTAATTTATTTTAAAATGGATTTATTTACAAATCTATAAAGAAAAAAATTACAACTTGCATATTTAAAAACAATATTAGAAGATCAACAAAACTAGCTCGTAGTGAGAAGAATATATTATTTTATCAAATGAATAATGAAAAAAGATATGTAAACAAAAGATATTAGAAGACTTTAATAATATAATACTCCCTTTTTCTTAAAATTAAATTTTCATTTGGCTTTTTACGGTTTCCAATATAATACATTAACCATTAAGATCTCTCTTTATACATGAATATCTATTATAAAATTAAAATATTTCAAATCATGTTCTAAAATTAATCTATTGATATTAAATTTAAATAAAAATTTAACATATTCATTCTGTGATATTAGGTCAAAGTTCAAAAAGTTTGATCAAAAAAGTCAAACTGGGAGTTAATTTTAGAATAGATGGAGTAAATCAAAATAGTTTTTTGGGACGGAGGATGTATTTAAGTATTTAGATCATGAATATCTGTGCGTATTTATGCACAAATATAACTAATAAATGCATTATTATAGTACTCTAAAAGTAATACTCCTCAAATTTATTTAATACGTAGTAACACCAATTTCATACTATGACACAACCTAATTCTAATGCGAATATTTATATATACTCAGCTCCATTGTTAATACGGAGTTAGTACTTTAGCTTACTTGATATTTCTGTTTGTAAAGCCTTGCGGCGGCAGCATGGGCAAGAAGGATGTGATGGGCAACAATGTAAGGTTCGGTGGCAGAGTCACCGCCAAGGCAGCCGATGGCGGAGTTCATGAACGGAGAGCAGCGGCCGGGGGCGAAATCGCCGGAGTCATAGCCCTTGGATGCAAAAGTCCATGGCTCGTTAATGCTTGTAAACAGCTTCACCTTCTCTCCAAATTCTCTAAAGCAAAGATCTGCGTAATCCCTAAAGTCATCCCTGCATCCATGCATATGAATATATGTGCCCGTTATTCTTTCTTCGTTTGACTTGTTTTTTTAGGAAGATGCTATCACAAACAAATAGTTCACAAAATAGTTCACAAATTAGAATATCTTTTATTATTTGAATGCATCTTAATTCTAAGCAAATTTATGAATTTTGTGAACTGTTTGTTTGTGACTCTAGCATTATTCTTTTTTTATTGTTACTTCTTTTTTAAAACACTTTCTATTATGACCTTTGGTTGATTTATTTTTATAATTTGACTTTTTCAATTATTCTCTCCGTCCATTTTATTCTTAGCATTTCGAAAAGCGTGCAAAATCTTATCTTTTTAAAATTATTTTATTCACAAATTAGTATTTTTTCAATAAAAAGTACAAATGACACTGTTTAAAACTACATTAGTAGTTCTACAAAAGAAAAACATGGTAAGAATATTTTATCTTATCAAATGATTAGTGAAAACATGTAAAAAACATAAATTATAGAGAGATCATAATAATAACTGGCTAGAAAAAATGGACGAAGGGAGTATATATATATATTCTTAGTGTTGAAAAGAAATCCTTGATATTCATCTTCCAATGCTTGAAACAAATTAAGTATGATGGACATACACAATTAGAGGGCTGAGAAATCCTTGATATTCATCTTCCAATGCTTGAGGAACGTCCCAATGAAATAGGGTGACCGTAGGTATTATACCTGTTACAATAATTATTAAGTTTCGTTCCTGATTTTTTTTGAAAGCGTGTTTCCTAATTGATACTCCTTATTTCATTAGCAATATATACGTCAAATGGGGCCCTTCTTAAAAATTCTAAAATGTAATTTCATTAAAAAAATAGAGAAACATAGAAAAATTATGTTAAGATAAAATATAAAAGCATGCAGAATAATACACACTCGCTCCCTGGGTATGAGTGTATCACCATGCCACTTTTCATTAAAAAGTCTATTTTAATTTATTAATATTAATTCTTAATTTACTTATCACATCATATATATTCAGTATTCATTTACTCATTGTATCTTACTTTTATCCATTACAAATTAGAAATTTTTCTATTAATTGCGCTGTTTTTAAATATGTCAAAAATCAAAATAAATGAGAATCATTTTTGGAAACAAAGGGAGTGGAAGGTAGCATATAGGGTTAATTTAAAGAATTTGGGCCTGGGAGTTGATGATTATGTACTCCATATATTTTGAAATGGATGAGGTAGTATCCGTTAAAAAAATAAATTTTTAATAACGTCAAAGAGTTTTAAAAAAAGTTTTTAAATTAAAATTTGTTTAAAATAAAGGAAAGTATGCATGAGGTATGTAAATTTTACTCCGATATAAATTTTTACTGATGAAATATGGGAAAAGGATTAAATTAGGAGTAAAAATATTAAAAAAGTACCAGAGCTTCATGTTTTTTGTCCTCATAATAAGAGTATAATACCAATAATACCGATATATAGTACCAAAAGTACAGTGATATGTCACTATACAATGTCATGTCACACCAGTGGCAGAGCCAGAAGCTAGCGAGCGAGGGGCACACTACAAGGGGTCGGGCATGGATTTTTTTAAAGAATAGTACTTCCTCCTTTCCTAAAAACATTTCCTAAACATTAAAATGAATAACATAAAATAAACATTAAAAAATTAAAAAAATTACTTATATGTTTAAACAGAATAATTAAAAAACATTCCAGAGAGAAATCATATAAAAACATAAAAAATTAAATTACTTATATGTTTAAACATAAAAAACATAAAAAATTCTGTTATGTTTAAACAGAATAATTAAATTACTTATATGTTTAAACAGAAAAATTAAAAAAATTACTTACATTAAAAAACATTAAAACTTACAACGAATCAAACATTAAAAAAAAAGTTTAAACAGAATAATTTTTAAGACCAGAGAGAAATCATATAACATAAAATGCAATAGATTCTATCTAAAATCATTCCAGATATAACAATAAAATAATATTATTATTACTTATATGTTTTTTTTCAAAATCACAAAAAATTACTCCATCCATCGAGAAAATGGTTTTTCCATTTGACTTTTATTGGTCAAATTTGTAAATTTTAGCTCCGATATGTAGGAAAAATGCATTGAATTATAATATAAAATTAATATCAATATATTCTTATTCTAACGTAGTTTTGATATATCAATTTTTTATAAAATATATACATGTATAAATATAGATATTTCGAGACCGTAAAGAGTCAAACAGAAAGAATATTTTTAGATGGAAGGAGTAATTCTTTTGGACAGCATAACACACTCTAATAAACACCAAATGAAGTTAAATAGAAAAAACAGAACTCCAAATTTTTAAAAAACAATTAAAATATGAATTTTTATTCAATCTTCACATTGCATTTGGGCTGAAAGGGGGTTTTGTTTAAAAAAGGCCTAGTCCAGTAGTCGCAGTAAAAAACTAAAAATGACCTATTGGAGATTTGGAGCCGCATTGTGTTTCTAAAAGAGGATACGGCGCCGTTTTGTTTTTGCTTTAAAAAGTCATGTACTCTTATTTTAAAGATCGGAAGACTCAGAGCAAGATAAACCAGGAGCGACTCTACCGCTGGGGGCACTGCAACCGCCGTGGACTGAACCCTCTTCGCCGGATCTTCGCCGGGTGGGCACNCTAAATAAGATTTATGTTTAGAGCAATAGAAAAGTATATAAAATTTAGAGCAATAGAAATATAATGGAAATTTAATGCACATACAAATCTAATTCATGTATGTAGTTATGATATACCAAATGATATAAAATTTATTTATTTGAATGTTTTTTTATTAATGATCAAAGTGCATAATATATTATTCAATCAAAAAATCAAAATGTAATAAATTTATGTAACATATGAAGTGCTTCGTAGTTCGTAGTATATTAGGGAGTACTCCGTATTATTTTAATTTTGGGTGGGAAGAGAAATATCATAATTCATACTCCCTCCGTCCGTAAATGATCTTCTCATTTGACTTTTCATGGTCAAAGTTTGTAAACTTTGACTTCGATATGTGGAAAAAATACATTGTATTATGATATAAATTTAATATCAATATATTTTTATTGAAATGCAGTTTTGAAATATCAAATTATTATAAAATATATCTATGTATAAATATAGATATTAATGGTCAAAGTGCAATACTGGAGACCGTAAAAAGTCAAATACGAAAAATATTTCCGGACGGAGGGAGTATCATTCTAATTTTGGGAGGGAAGTGTAATATCATATCATTCATATACTCCCTCCGTTTTTTTAAAGTGTTCCTATGTTGACTTTGTGTAAAAATAAGGAAGTGTTAAATTGTAGTTGACTTCCAATTTTGCCCTTGATGTGATGGGTAAAAGTAAGATGTGATGGATTGAGTATTAGAGAAAAAGTATGATGTGATAGGTAGGGTATGAAAAAGTAAGGGTAAAAGTGGTTTTTTAATAGAAAGTGGAAGTGTTTTGTTGGAAGTAAAAAAAATGAAAGAGGAAGAGTTTTTAAGAACGGAGGGAGTACCATTTTTCTGAGCTTTCAAAAGTAGTAATTCTATAGGTCCTTTTCAAGGATAGTAGCTAAGAGTAAGTACTACCTCCGTCCCACTCTTTTTGTCCAGTTTTGACTTTTGGAACATTTCATTTAAGCACTTTGACTCATCAAATTTTCTCAATGTGTAAGTCTAAAAATAGTCATGTATGATCTTGTTTGATTTGTCTTAACATATAGATTATTAATATATAATTTTTATAATTTTTTAATATATAAATTACAAGATAAAATGAATTAAAGAAGTGCATTGGATGATGTGCAAAAATGAAAGTGGACAAAAAGAGTGGGACGGAGGGAGTATTTTCCATTTATGACTTACCGTTTGCAATGAGTTCATCAATTAGATTCTTGTAGAAGGTAATACCCTGCTGATTGATGCCCTTGCTCACCTTTCCATCTAAAAATTTAACAAATTATAGTTAATTGAGTTAAGAAACTCATCTTTTTAAATCTAAACTTTATTTATCATTTCACAAAATTCATAATTCGAAACTTTTAATACACGAGTTATGTTAAGATAATCACACAATTTTGATACTCCCTCCGTTCTCCATAGATCTTCCCATTAGCTTTTTTTATTTGTCTCACATAGATTTTCTCATTACCTTTTTTCACATTTAAAATACCACAACTACCCCCACTTACTTTATTTATTACACCTTTTCCACCTTATTTAATACACCCTACCCATTTTCATAAGGATATTTTGGTAAACTTTCACCTTTTTTCAACTCTCCTTAAAAACAAAAAAAGTCAAAACGAGAAGATCTTAGGGGATGGAGGGAGTACTATATACGGAATATTATTCATCTCATACTTTGCACAAACAGCATAGACAATAACTTTCGATGTGCCACCGACATTTATTATCTGTGCATATTTTTACAAAGCATGAAGTCAGTGATGATGTCAAAATTATGGGATTATCCTCGCTTTTTTGTTAATACACCCTCGACTTTCACCCTGAAAAGCAATTCAAAAGGATACATGGAGCTGAGCCTCTACATGTACTAGGCACAAGATCCAGTCTTACACCAACTAACTGAAATTATAGTTTAATTTACCTCCTCTCAAGTCTCAACTAATTTTTTGGCCGATGTTAAGGAATGTAGGAAATGGGTTCATCCTTGTTCTTTTTTTTTGAAAAGCAATTCAAAAGGATATACATGAATTATATATCCATACTTACATGGCAAAATTCGAGACCAAGAGATGGAAAATCTGAAGGCATCCATTCCTTCATATTTCATCATTTTTATGTCTTCCTACAATTACAATGGTTCCAACAAAATTTGAATGAGATTTTGAATTTGATCAGCTGTGGCATTGTTCACCCATTATTCTAACTATAAGGCCCCGTTTGATACAAGGAATTCAAATTATGGAATTGGAATTGAGGACTTCAAATCTAATTTTGGTGTTTGGTAGCACAAATATTATGTAGATTTGGAATTGATAGCACGAAAAATGAATTGAATTTGGTGAATTCAATTCTATGGAATTGAATCACATGGAATCCCAATTCCAATTCAATTCCAATTCTATCAATTCTGTATACCAAACGGACCATAACATTTTTTTATATACAGAGTATATAATATTAGCACAAAAATTTGATGAAATTAATATTTTGAGCGTACATCAAAACAAGTTAAATTTTGGGCAAAGTATTTTCAAGGTCCCTATATTTTTTTAAAAATGCTTCCAAGTACCAGAATTATTATAAGTGCTTACCAATCCATATATATTTTTAAAAGTGCTTTATACCTCCTTAAATTATTTTTATTTCCTACCAAGTCCATGTACTTTCTAACTTGTATCTTAGGCTCCGTTCAACTTATTTTTTCTGATCTGATCTAATCAGATCTGATTTGATTGGATCTAATCTGATTGGATTTGATCTGATCTAGTCTGATCTGATTGGATCTGATCTGATCTGATTAATTACGATTTGATTTAACATTCAAATCAATAATTTGATCTTACTTTCTAATAACTTTTTGAAAATTGTAATGATAATTCATATTATAATATAATCAATATTTTTTATTTTATGATTATTTTTTACTGAAATAAAATTAGTTAATTCATATATTAGAATAATCATTCATATTATAATGTAATAATATTTTTTATTTTATGATTGTTTTTTTTATGAAATAAGAATATTGATTTAATATTTTAAGAATTAGTTCAATTAGAATAAATATTTACTTCATATATACATTAAAAAGTAATTAAATTTATTTTTTGAAAGAATCGTATAAAGTGAAACAAGTAAAAAGTATAGAATTTAAAAAGCATGGAGTAATATCGATAATGGTAATGATAATGATGATGATGATGATAATAATAATTCCTAATAATAATAATAATAATAATAATAATAATAATAATAATAATTTTTGATTGGATCTGATCTGATCTGATCTGATCTGGTCTAATCTAATTGGATCTAATCTGATCCGATCTGATCTGATTGGATCTGATTTGATCTGATTAGATCTGATCTGATCTGATTTTAATAAAAATAAGAAAAAAGTTGAAAAAATAAGTTGAACGGAACGAGACCTTAGTAGTCCTTTCGATGGCTTTTGTTTGATGAAGTGCGCGGAAATTGTTTGAGCAACACGCACAAGTGGTTCAAAAATTTATGATATAACGTCAATTTTTATAACAATTTCAGGAGACTTGGTATGAAAAAAGTTACCGAAAGGTCCACTAATGCACCAGTTAAAAGAACAGGGATCGGATAAACACTAAAAATAAATTAGGAACATGTGAAGCACTTAAATAAAAGGAACATCGTAAGCACGTTAAACAATTTAGGGACTTAAGAAGCAATTCCGAAAAAATATAGAAACTTTATAAGCACTTTACCTTAACTTTTACCCCGTATATAACACTCAGTTTAATCGTGTAATTCACTCGTGCTCAAATACGATCTCAAAATTTTAACATTCTAATAAAATTATGTTTTGAATGAAAACACTCTGTATAAGTTTTTTGTCGGCAAAGCAATCAGTTAGTTTTTTTTTAATATTCTTATAATTATACGGCATTTGTTATAATTTTTTTTAACTATAAGATATGATATTTTTAATTATAGATACACTAATTAAATAAGAAATGAAAAATCTAAATGTTAACTACACCCTCTGTACGTCCAACTATGTTTGGGACATGGAGGAGTGACAAAAAGATAAAAAAAGGCTATGATTGTATGGTCAGGGGCGGAGGAGAGGGGGGCACGGTGGGGCACTTGCCCCCCGGTGATTTTCCGGCATAGTACTACCGGTAGAGTGCCGCCGAATTGTGCCCCTCCGACATGCTTGAGCTTCCCAGATCTAGTTGCCGCCGACTTGCCGTCTCTGCTCTCTTTTCCTCAAATAATTTTGCGGAGTACTCCGTATTTATTGAGTTTATTTTAACTCCGTTACTTTATTAAACGATGACGTTTTAGTCTTGGGAGTTAGTTGATGGTTTAGAAAAAAACAAACACAGCCCTTTTATCCAATCCTCACATCCCCTTTTACTTTTCTTAAATACTCTTTATTTGTTTGCTTTCTTTATTCCGTAGTACTAACTAGTGATTAGTGAAGAACCCATTTACATCCTCCCTCAAATATTCTGTTTTTTCTTGATTTATGAAATTTGATTGAAAATATTTTTTATTAAATTTATAAGAATCATCACAAATAAGATTAAAACATATGAAAAATATTAAATATGAGCTCCATATTTTTTGTCTTCTAAATAGAAATTATATTTTTTATATTTTACTATTTCTTTAATCTTTTTTAGCAAACTTATTTAATTATAAATGTAAAATTTTAAAATAAAAATTATATTTTTAAAATTATATAAAAAAATTAAAAACTAATAAGTTTATATTAACTTATGAAAATAAGTAAAAATAAATAATTAAAATTTGATTGTGTTAACAATAACTAGAAATAAAGTTTCAGTGTGTAATGAGTAAATTGCAAATACTTATTGATTTGTTTTTGAGAGATTACTATTAATCTATAAATATATAGTGTATCTAATTACTTTGAATTGGATTCAATTAATGATATTGTTATTTTATTAAGAATGATTCTATATAATTTTGAACAAAGTTGTTACTCCGTTGATGACAAATGACCAAAATCTTATTCAAGACACAAAAGTTAGTACTCCTTATTTGGTATGATTAATACAGAGTAATAATGACATTTTATTGTTATATTTTTGTGAATTTTTTTAATCTTTGAGATACAATTTATTATTGATTTATCAGTTTATATTGTAGTTAAAAATTCGGGAGCATTGCCTTGGACTCCCCCGACCCTGAGT